CTTACTCAGAAATAGAGTCCATGTAGATATATGAGGTGTATTTACTCACACAGGAACAAAGCAAAAGCCCAGGATCAGGGCCCGGCTAGCTCAGTGGGTGGAGGCCAAGGCCCAGGGCCTTGGTTTAGAAGGCTCTGTATCTGTGCCCTCTTTCTGGGGTCAGGATTGGCACTTATGTAGGGCCAAGTGGAGCCTCCAGGAGAAGATGAGGAACTTGAACTTGGCCACTGGGTGTTTGTTTCCGCAAATGGCCATGACAAACTCCGAGTGATCTTTATAGGTTATCCCAGGTTACAGGTTAAATGGGATCCTTATAGGTGATCCCAGGTTATTCCACATTCATGAGAACTGCCTGTGGACCTGATAAACTCTGTGCTCTGATTCCATATATCTGGGGTAGAAATGCTACTTCTCAGCAGGGGCTGAAACAGAATGAACCAGTTCAAGCCTGTTATGAAGCCAGAACAGCAACACTGTTTAATTCAAATACAACAGAGCCATCAGGCTGCCTCAATTGAAAGCCTTTCTCTGCTACTCACCCCACTACACAATGCAACCCTGGACAAATGGTTGGGCCTCAGTTTCCCTACTGACGCCTTGGGTTAACATTGGCACCTCTTTCCCAGGACTAAGGTTATCATTCAAATAGCTACAAAGTTCTTAAAGAACACACTTGTTGCTGAGGCAGCTCTCTTTTCAGCTCTCTGAAGCACTGCCTCGCCGCGTGCCATCTTCAGGAGGGTGTGTTTGAGCCCACTAATATGGTTACCATCTATTCTGAGTGCCTTTATATCTTGTGGATACAGTAACTCCCGGTACTATATCAGACAACATTCTGCTGTGATCCATATGGTTTTTTTCATCAGATAATTTGCAAGGAGGGACCAGTCCTTGGAGCAGGACATCATGCTTAGAAGGGTAGAAAGACACAGAAAGAAAGAAAAAAAGAGCCTTGATGAGATGGATTGATTCAGTGACTGGGGTAATGGGGGTAGGTGTGTCAGAGACAGTAAAACTGGCACAGGATAGAGCCGGTTTCAGGGCTTCTGTACACAGGGTAGCTATGAGTCGCAAGCGACTAAACAGTACGTAACAACAACAACAATCTAGAGGAGTAGATTACCAGGACTTTCTTCCTAGTCTTACTCTGGAAGCTCAGCTGACACCTGTCCACTGTGTGTGGCCTTACTGAGGCCTGAAATATCAGGGATATTGCTTCCAGCAACACTACAACATGCAAGCCACCATAGTACAACAAACTGGCAGCCAGGTGCTGCTAACTGGTATGAATGATAATCCATGGTTCTTCATCTTTGGGATTCTTAGGGCACTGTGCGCCTTCTCTGGACACACGCACAACTAGCAGGGTCCAAGAAAACCTTTTGTGGAGTCCAGGCTCTTTACTGAGACTTTACAAACCTTGGAAGGCTCTGCTCATCAGGTGACCCACCACCACCTGTCCCCAATTCCAGACACACAGATCCTCATTTTAACTCTCCCTAAACCCTGTGGTCATAAGGCTTCTCCTACTTTGTCCCCAGCTGTTCCTCAGATCTGCCACTAACTTCAACACCTGTCCTATTTCAGCCTGATAACATCCAGATGCCAAATAGGCCAATGCCCCAGTCTTGACCAATCAACCTGGTTGCCCCTCGCCCACTGCTAGTCCTCCACTCCCCCCGACACCCTGCTTTCATTCTGCGCTTGTCTAAGGCGTGGAGATTTATAGCACAGAGCTGAGGTTAGTAAAGCCATATACACAGTGGAAGATGCCTCACACGCTGAGAGGTAAACTCTTTGCTGAGGTTTAATTACGCACAGATGTTGTGATGGGATGCCAGTGCGAAAAAAAACAAAAAAAAAACCCAAACTATTTTTCTCCAGTTTTTAAGAGCTGAACTGGTTCACAGCACAAAATTCACTTCCCACTTGTTATGTGTTTAGGCAAAATTAATTACTCAGGAGCCTAATTCCTCCATTGTCGGAGGAATGGGGCGCTGTTTTGGAAGCAGCAGGTCGAATCGTTGTGTTAATTATTTACCCATTTGGCATCCTCTTTTCAAAACTGTGTGTTGTTATTACTATTACATGTCTTGGTCTGGCAGTTGCTAGTTGGCCTCCGCCAGGGGGATGATTTCGCGGTTTCCATGGGAACGGTGAAGATGGTTCTGTTTGTCTGGCTTGTTGTTCTGGCTCTGGGGAGTGCCCCTGCTGGCTAGGAAGCAGCAGAATATGCTGAGCAGAGCACCAGATTTGGAGCCAGACCATGGGATTTCTGGCTCCAGCTTTTTCACTGGATGACTATGAGTGCCATCTGTAAGATGGGTCTATGGCTAAAAGAATTCAATGTCATGGTGCCTGCAGAGGGTTTAGTGCAGAGTGCCTGGCACAGAGGATGTGTCAATAAAAAGAATCCATCCTTTCCTACCTAGTCATCACCTCCTGGAAGCTTCCCTCTGCTATTCATCCTGCAAAGGATAAAATAATGCTTCCTGAGCATCAAATAGGAAACTCATAGTACTGATCAACTTGTGTGTTAACAATGCCTTCATGCCTTTTGCCTCTACTAGATGTAAAGTAATATGGGAGCTCTGGGGGTCTAGTGGTAAGAAATTGGGTTGTCCATCCAAAGGTAGGCGGTTTGAATCCACGAACTGTCCAAAAGCCTCCTAGAGGGTCTGTTGCGGGTCAGTTCTGAAAATACGGCATCTAAGAACAATGACAGTGTGAACTGAAGGGAGCTCTGGTGGCCAAGTAGCAAGGAGTTAAGCTAGCAACCCCAAAGCACGCAGTTTGAGACCACCAAGTGCTCTGAGACAGAAAGATGGGCCACTGCCTTCGGTGTGATTCACAGGCTCTGAAAAATCCACTCGAGGGTCAGCTATGATCCAGTGTTGATGGTACAAAACAACAACAGATGTGAAGAGGAGTTCCTGAGTGGCCCCAATCTGTTGAGCCCTGAGGGTTTTGATCTGTTGAAATGGGGGTTCCTTTTTCTGAATTTGGGGGCACACCGACATGCAAAACCACCACAGGCACTTGGAGCTGTGACTGGTGTGGTCTGACACTGTTTCCTACCTCAGTGTGTTAGAGTCCGATCTGTTCTGCCACAAAACTTGGTTTAAAAAAAAATTCGTTACAATGTGACTGAAATACTATGAAAACAGTCTGATCAGAACACAAATTGTGTATTAGCTTATGTGCAGCGTCACCTCTGAGAAATGCTGGGTGAATACAGAACTCCACAAATTGCACACACTTCAACCTTCACTGCGAGTTACGACAGACACTCATCACATCTGTTGCTGTAATCTTCTCTCCGACCACTTCACAATAACCCATAAGCGCAAGCCTTCCGATGTCCACTTCCACAGGCAAACGTCAAGGCCGAGTGCCATGCATACTGTGGTAATGTGTATTCCCTAACCTTCCTGCTGCTCTTGGTGCTGTTAGGTGCCTTTGAGCCAAGTATGGCACATAATGACCTTACAATAGAGCTCAACCCAGTCCTATCCTGTGCCATCCTTATCATCCCTGACACACTTAAACCCACTAAAGAAGTCACTGACTCGATCCATCTCACTGAAGGTCTTCCTCTCTTTCACTGACCTTCTTCCTTTCCTAAACACCTGTTGTTGTTATGTGCCGTCAAGTCACTTGCGACTCATAGCAACCCTATGTACAAGAGCCCTAAATTCTGCTCTGTCCTGTGCCAATTGCACTACCACCTAAGTTGTATAAAACTGTGCTGGCACGTTTATTAGGCAATTGTGCAAGTGAGGCCCATAGCGAGTTGCTCTGTTAATTTAAAGACCACAAGTCTGCTGCAGTTCAAATCCACAAGAAGCTCCAAAGGGAAAAGGTGGGCAGTCTCGTCCCATTAAGACTTACAGCCTCAGCATTTGCGGGGGAGCTGAGTTTGCAAGCATGGAGCTAGGGTTCAGCACCTTTGGACCTGGACTTGACCTTAGGGTGAGGTGCTTTATGGAGGACATTTGCACCGGCAGAGCTACAAGAATTCTGTAACACTTGTCTGAGCAGGACTGTGTCAAAGCCAGGAACTGGAAATAGCCTTGTCTTCAGGTGTGGTGGAGAAGATAGTTTGTCCTGATCTGAGTTGTTCCTGAACCTGATTTTAAACATGTTATTTCCCTCATAAATTCCCTTATCTGTAAAAAATAGATTTACAGCCTCAGAAACCTGAGGGCAGGTCACTCTGCACCAGAGACAACTTGCCAGCAGTGAGCTGAACTGTTAGCAGTGACTCAAGTGGTTTACACTCTCAGGATATAAGAAAAGGTTTGGGGGTTTGAGCCCACCCAGAAGTGCCTCAGAAGAAAGGCCTGGCAATCTACTTGCCAAAAAAGTCTTGTAAGTCCTGTACAGAGTACAGTTCCACTCTGATACAACATGGGTGATCACAAGTTGAAGTCAACTCAACAAACACTCATTGGTGACCCTGGTGAAGTTTCTGAGGGGTGTGCCTCGAACCCCATCTTTTCTATAAGCCCTGAAGTTTCTATTGTGTGACATTTCCTCGTGTGGTGGTTTTTAGGAGCAAGTATTTCATGTCAGAGCAGAAGTGAGTGTGTCATCAATGAGCCGCTATGATAGATACAAAGTATTTAGAAAGGTACCAGGAGGGCAGTAAGAACCAGCATCAACACGTCATCACCATCACCGGCATCAGCATCCCAGGCCTCGCGGAAGCAGAGACTACAGCTTATTGGCCCTTGGATAGTGATCAGTGTCTTGAAAGTTTAGATTAGTCAATAAACATCTGTTTGATTGGCTGCTGGCCTGACAATCACATGTGGTGCTTCTTTGTGGCTGTGCCTTGAAGGGCTTTTTCACTTGCAGCACAAATAACAAATCAAATATCCTTGGGAAGAAGGCTCAGGAAGGAGAAAATCCCAACCCATGTTCTTAAAGGGAATGCAGGGGAGGGAGCAGTCCATCCCCCAAGACCACCATGGCCCCCACTGTCCCACCTCTGTTACCTTTAAGAAGTCAAAGTGCTTCAGCATGTGGGCTACTTTCTCAGCATTCCTCCCTTCATTGAGAAAGTCCAGCTCCAACGGCAGGTTCTTCTTGGCTTCGTCCACCAGCCACATAAACTCGAAGTCCGGGAACAGCTGTTTCACAGCCAGGACGAGCATCTGAAATCCACCAAGTCCATCATCAGCATTTTCTTTATTATTATTTCATAAGCTTATATATTTGGAAGCAGCAGTGGCATCCACTTCCTAAATAACATGCCTCCAGAAATCCTATGAACTTTGATAAATGTCAATAGTTGTAGAGGGGCTTCCAGTCTTTTGTTCACAGGGTCACTACGAGTCATGCTCGACTCGAAAGCAATCAACAATAAAAAGCTTATATATACAGTTGTTATGTGCCATCAAGTCAGAACCTACCCATATCTGACCTTTCAGTGGGTTTTCAGGGACAGTAAATCACATAGGAGGGGATTATCCATTCTTCTCCCTTGAAGGAGCTCATAGTGAACTGCCTTTGGGATTGCAGTGTAGTTCCCTACCACTCAGCCACCAGAGCTCAGCAGCCCTCCACTACCCACAGGGGATATCACCCAGGACTCCCAGTGGATGCTTAAAACTACAGATAATACAAAACTCTACATATACTATATTTCTCCTGTACATACACATGAAAAGGTACCCAGGTGGCCCCGGGCAGGCCGTGTTCACCTGTCAGACACCGTCAGGGCCTGGTACAGCAGCCCCCTCAACTGTGTGAACCAGGCTCACCCCCAGCACAGGAAGAAGGCGAACCCAGCTCTGGAAGCTGGAAGGCACAATTTTCACGAGACAAAATGGGACAGAATTGAAATCTTTCTGGGCTATGGATGATTGCAGACAACTGAAGTAATGGAATGTGAAGCCATGGGTAAAGGGGGACTATCATCTTATCCTTTTCTAATTGACACAAGAAAAGACAACTTGACAAGACAAGAAGAACAAGAGAAGAAGACTGACCCCTCAGATGAAGAGCTTGGATTTTGGATCATGTGGTCCCTCTGTGGCATCGGAGCCCTAGTAAGGTCAGTGGTTTGAAGCCACCAGCTGCTCCATGGGACAATGATGAGACAGTCTGTTCTGTAAAAAGCCCAGTTGGTGACAGTTCTACTTGTCCTGTGGGGTCACTATGAGTCAGAATCAACTTGCTGCAGATGGGCTTGGTTTCCGGTTTGGGAGAAATTTTGAGCTATGATATGATGGGAAAAAAAGAAGGTTTTAAAGGTTTACCTGGCACTTCAAGTTTTGGCTTAATGATCTGAAATTAAGTGACACTGGCAGAGAGCAAGTGTTCAATGACAGCTGCAGAGCATAACACAGCTCGCTCTGTGTGCAGGGACTCAGCTCTGTACTGGGGGAGCCACTATGATGCCAGGCACTTGAGAGGTGTTCCAGCATCCCAGGAGGGAAACGTGGAAGGCAATGTCTATACACCCCCTAAGGTGACACTGAAGATGCTCAAAACTAAACCTAAGGAGAAACACTGATAAGGAAAGTTCTACAAGATTCAGTCAAGAAAACCTTAAAGGAAAGTTCTACAGTCAAGAAAACCGTAAAGGAAAGTTCTACACTGGGTTTGTCACCACCCAGAGACAACTTGATGGCAAGATAAGACTTTTTGTTAAGGAGTCCCTGACAGGTATAAATGGTAAAGTGTTTGGCTACTAACTAAAACCTTGACAGTTCAAATCCACCCAGAGGTACGGGCAAAACCACAGGGTTGCACTGTTTGGTGGATGATGGGAGCAGGGGAAGAGAATGGGAAGGATTGAGGTGAAAAGAAAAGCTAATGATGGGCAAAGTCCAATGGTGATTAGTTTTTTGGTTTTGTTTTTGTTTTTTTTTAAATTTAGGTTGTTTATTTTTCATTTCAATGAACATCTACAGAAATTTTGGGATTCCATTCATTCATTGTTGCACCCTTCTGGTGATTAGTCTTATAAAACATAATGCATGTCAATGTATGAAACACAATGTGAATGAAGAATAGTGTGAAACACAACGCTTACCAACTTTGTAAGCACACCAATTTAAAAATCAATCAATCAATCCACCCAGAGGTGCCAAGGAAGAAAGGCCTAGCAATCAAATGTCTAAAGATCACAGCCATGGGGGCAGGACAGTGGGAGGAAGAGAAAGAAAAACCCTGTGGTTTCAGTTCGACTCCAGCACACATGGAGTCACTGAGTCAGAAACTACTCAGCCAGTATTTTCTGTGTTGTGATGTGGTGCCCACCACTGGGTTAAGACACAGAAAAGAAATGGTCTAACGCAAAGCCACCAGGCATCTGCAGCTTTGTGTTAAGTCCTACGTCCTAGGTGATGCGCCAGACACCCTACTATAAGGATCATCGCACAGGGTTATTATACTCAATTTCTATCCCAACATTTCTTAATTACATTACGCTGCAGTCTAATTTCTTTTAAGTCCTGTCTACTCTTTCATGAGCTAGACCCATGACCTTATGATAATCGATTTCGTTTACGCTTTGTTTCTGTTTGTGTCACAGGAAACCAAAAGAGAGAAGCAGTCGACCGAGAGGGCTGGCTGCATGGGTCAGACCCAGACCCTGGCCGCAGCAGCCTCAGGGCATCCACATCACATCACCATGTCCTCAGATGGCCCTTGTGGGAAGCGGCACAGAGAAACAACTTGAAACAGCAGGAGAAACAACAAAAACAACTCACCAGGGCCCAGGTGGAGGCACGCACGCCAATCGCACTACCTTGTTCCGTACTGTGAGCTCACAGGCCAGCAGGCAAAGTTCCCCCGCACTTTGCTCTAAATGCCGAAAGGCCTCTCTGAGAAGGAGTAAAAGCAGGAGGCTTACTCACTTGTTCAATCAGTATTTATTGGCTTCCAAGTAAAGGAGGCTTGGTGGCACAATGGTTAGGTGTTTGGCTGCTAACTAAAAGGCTGGCAGTTCAAAGCCACACAGGAGCTTTGCAGGAGAAGAATCTAGCCGTCTGTTCCCATAGAGATGCAGCTGAGAAAAGCCCATGAGGCAATTCTACTCAGTCAGACGGGTTTGCTGTGAGTGGGCATCAACCCAATGGCACTTAACGACACAAGTCAGGTAGATAATCACTCCGAGCCAGATGTGGACACATAAGTGGCCTTGGTTTACCTCAGGTTTTTAAACTGACTTTGCAAATACAATCAGGGTGCTCCTTAGAGGCAAGGATGGTGGAACCCTGAATCACATACTTTAGACATACTATCTAGAGGGGCCAGTTTTTTGAAAAAAAGACAACAGGCTCAGAATGGTAGGTGGTCAGAAAAAGAGAGAAAGACCCTCAACAAACAGGACTGGCACCATGACTGCCAGACGGTGTAGGATAAAGCAAGGTTTGGATCTATTCTTTACAGGTTGCTACGCGTAGTCCAGCTAATGGCAAAACAACAATGCTCTGAGGAGGAAATTCTGGCCAAACAACAAGTCCTCATCATTTATTGTATTATCATTTTTCATTGTAAAAATTATCATTATCCTTAACATCAAAACAGCACTGAAAGTCACTATAAAGATTTTTCTGTTACTAATCAATTACGTGATCAGTCATTATTAGTGCTATTGGTAATCATTAAGATCTAATGCCATCAATCATAAGAGCAGCCATTGATTTTATCAGTTACTATTAATGGCTAATAACTAATTAGTAAAGTAAGTCACAGCCCCCAAATTAGTTGACAGAACTTGGAAAAAACCAGGGTGATAAAGTTTTAGAAGCCAAGCGTGGAGATGGCTACACCACACTGGGAATGTGATTAATGTCACTCCCCGGCACACTTGAAAAATCCAAACAAACAAATAAATAAAAGTGGTTCTGAAAGCACTCTGTGGTGGTGAATCTACCCTCAGTTACATTAAAATTAGAGGGCATGTTGGGATGTATGGTCGGATTCATAGTTTTAGGGAAGGTCGTGAGCCGCTCTGCAAAGTTGATGCCAGCTATGAAACCCATAAAATGAACAGAGATAATTTTTCACATCACGGGGTTCACTAATCCCTTGAAATGCACTGAGTGGGTAGTTCTAGAAAGAGGAGAGTTGGGGAGGGGGAGAGTAGTCCATTCTGCCTCTGTTTTCATTCCACTGCCCTCCTTAAGCTCCTGCCTGAAGCAGATTCACTTAGCTTTTCATTTTTGACAACAGATGCAATTGACTAAAATAAAACAGGTGTTGTTATCAATTTGGCTTTTTGGGTTTTATTCCAAAATGTATTTTCTCTATCAAATTCCTTCAACAGCCAATGTTTTCATCAGACCCTCGCACACACTCAACACTCAACAGATGTTTACTGAACAGGACCGTGAATGAATGAGTGAAAACACGAATGAATAAATATGTAAAAAGGGTTTGTCCTCTCCCCTGAGATACCGACAAGTTCACACTCACGTGATCCGAGTGGGTGGAGTTATTCTCTTTCTGACGCTTTCATGGGGAGAGGGATTGCCTCTGCATTTTCAGGAACCAGTTTCAGAAGAGGACTTGAAGCATTTAATGAAAAAGAGCAAAGACTACAAACAGCCTTCAGTATAGATTATACCTTAATATCAAGAAAACAAAAGTCCTCACAATTGGACCAACAGTGAGTATCATGATAAATGGAGGAAAGAAGTAAGTTAATAAAGATTTCATTTCAGTTAGCTGTACTAGCAACGCCCATGGGAGCGGCAATCAAGAAATAAAAAGATGTGCAAATCAAAACCACAATGAGCTATCACCTCACTCTAGTAGCAGTGGCAAAGTTTAACAAGACAGAAAGTAATAAATGTTGGAGAGGATGTGGCGAGATAAGACCTCTTATAGTTGGTGGGACTGTAAAATGGTACAACCACTCAGGAAGGCAGTTTGGTGCTTCCTCAAAAAAACTGATCATAGAAATTCCATATGACCCAACTATTCCACTGCTTGGAATATGTTGTTGTTGTTGTTGTTGTTGTTATGTGCCGTCGAGTCGCCTGCGACTCATAGCGACCCTATGTACAACAGCCCTAAACTCCGCTCTGTCCTGTGCCAATCGCACTGTCTCTGACACTCCCATCCCAATTATCCCAGTCACTGTATCAATCCACCTCATAGAGGGCCTTCCTCTCCTGCGCCGTCCCTCCACCCTCCC